TCGTCATCAGGTGTTGACCAGCGTTTTAAATATTCAGCACAAGTCGAAGAATTAATAGGGCCATCAAAATTGCCGATCTTCTTGACATCGTACGAGTTATTGCTTTTGGATTTGACAATCTTGTACGGACCCAAGTATTTAGGTTTCAACTTCAGGCCGCTGCCAAATTGTGTCCTTTTAATTGCGACAATATCACCGACGTGATACTGATTGGCTTGCTTGCGACGCAAGTTGTAGGTCTTTCTATTTTCGTCCTGGACCTTAGAAATTTGAGTCTTAGCTTTGCTTCTCAAATCGGTTCGCTCGTCACTGTACGCTGCTATCGCCTCCTTGTTGATCAAGTTTTGTAGCTTGACGTCCTCTTTGGTACGCATTTTGGTGCCTATCAAAAGCTCGAATGGAGTTGTGGCGATCGATCTAGCAAATGTGGAATTGATCGCCTGCTGAACTTTGTGGACGTGCTTATACCACTTGGTTGGGTCGTCAATGCTTAGTTTTGACAGAACTGATATTATAGTGGCGTTCAATCTCTCGACTTGCCCATTCACGCGTGGAAGTCCTGTGGTCGTCTTGATGGGTTTGATGTTTTCCTCGTCGCAATACTTTAAGAAGTCCTGCGATGTAAATGCAGACCCTCTATCGGAAATGATGATGGCAGGGTTGCCAAATACTGCACTTTGGTTATGCAGCTTTGTGATTACGTCGTTCGAGGAAGTCGATTTAGTCGGGTACAGCCAGCAGAATTTGGTAAACGAATCTACAACGGCTAAGATGTGCTTGTAGTCTTTATTTGTGGAATCTAACGGACCTAAGAAATCCACATGAAAGGTATGCAGAGGGACGTCTCCTTTGTCCAGAGGATGCAGTAGTCCTTCCTGTTTGCCTTTCTTACGATTGCTCAGAATACACGGGATGCAGCAATCTATGACCTTCTGAATTTTTTCCTCAAGACTTGGAATGTAATACTCTGTGCAAATCAGTTCCTTGACCTTCTTCGATGCGAAATGACCCTTCTCATGAGCTTTTGTGATGATTTCCCTTTGCATGCCTCTGGGCACCACAACTAACTCAGTGTCGTTGACAAGCTTGTGTAGTACCCCGCCCTTGAGAAAGTAGTCGTTGTAGGAATCTTTTCCATCGTTGAGAATATCGCATATCGCTCTGAGATGATCATCTCGCTCCTGCGCTTTTTGAATACCTATCGAAATACTTTGGTCAACTATTGTCATGATTGGGTAACGGCTGAGGGCGTCGACATGTTTCATACGAATTCCGGATCGATGCTCTACCTCATAATCGTATTCCTGTAAAAATAGGACCCAGCGAGCGACACGTGTGCAAAGATTTTGCTTCTCCAAAGTTTTTGTGAAGGCGTTACAGTCGGTAATAATTTTAAAGTGGATGCCTAACAGATATACTTTAAACTTTGTGAGTGCTTCGATGACTGCAAGAATTTCAAGCTCGTAACTTGTGTACTTTCTTTGAGCGTCGCTTGTCTTTTTGCTCATAAAGTATACCGGATGCATCTGACCGTCGTCTAAGGACTTCTGCAAAAGGATCGCACCAAATCCGTCAATGGAAGCGTCTGTGTGCACTTCTGTCTCGAGCTTCTGGTTGTAGATGCTCAGAACTGGATTTGCGGTCAATACCTTTTTTAAATTTCGTACTGACGTTTCTTCTTTGGGGCCCATGATAAATTTTGTGTTGCTCTTTGTTAAATCAGTGAGTGGCTTCGAAATAATGGCATAATTTTGAATGAATTTCCTGAAATATCCCGTTAAACCCAAAAAACTTTCTAACTGCTTTAAAGTTTGTGGTGATTTGAATTTTGCCACAGCATCAATTTTCTCAGGGGTTGGATAAATCTTCTGATTTTCTATAATATGGCCGAGGAACTGTACACGCGTTTTTAAAAAATGACATTTTTTAAGATTCAACTCAAGACCATATTCTGAACAGGTGTCAATAACCTCCCTCAGGTTCAGCAATGCGCTTTCTTCATCCATAGCCGGTATGATGACGTCATCGATGTAAGGCAGAGCGATGCCTTTGCGAGTCAGCTCACGAAAAATTGCGTTAACATGTCGCTGGAAAACGCCAGGAGAGTTTGAAAGTCCAAAAGGTACCTTTAAAAACTGATATTGTCCACTTTGAGTGACAAAGGATGTGTATTTTCGGCTGGGCTCTGAGACAGGAACATGAAAAAATCCATTTTTCAAATCGATCGTGTGGAAAATCTTGGCATCCTGGAGTCTGTCCAGCTGGTCGTCGATTAAAGGCAAGGGGAAATGATCTTTAACGATTACCTTATTGATCCTACGAAAATCGATGCAAAGTCTTGGAGAGCCATCACGCTTTTTGATCATTACCACTGGGCTTGTGAACTCGGAGTCAGACACTTCTATTATACCAGTTTGAAGCCATTCGTCAACCTGCTCCTCTACCAAACGCGTCTCAGCAAAAGGCAAACGCCTTGGTCTGGCAAATATTGGAGTCTCGTCCTTCAGGATAATGCGCATCTCGATTTTGGTGGTCTTCAGGTGAAGTGGTTTGTAGTTGCTTATGATTTTGCGTACTTCGTTTTTGGCAAACATACTTGCTTGCTCGTTGATATTAAGTTCATTGTCATTCTCTGCGACGTCGATTTTCATAACGTTTATAAAATCACTTTCTTCTACCTGACTCGGCATCTTACGCACTTGCAAACCGTCGCGATTGAAAATAATTTCAGCATGCAAACAAATTTCTTCGCCGACAATCAATTGGAAATCCATGCAACCGATGGGAACAACGTAGAAATCCAACTCGAACTCGTTATTGTCGATGAGAATGGTCTCTCTGAAATGTCCAATTGGATTTATTTTGTTTGCGTCGCGCTCGCTACCGAAACCAATTAGAGCCACACTACAGTTTTGCAGTCTCGGACGTCGTAAACCGTTATAGAGATCTTCGCGAACCAAGTTGAATTTGCTTCCGGTGTCGAACAGAGCTACGCACTTTTCGTTAGCGAGAACAACTTCTTTGCTTGTAAAATTACTTTTAGACCGCACTCGATGAGTGTTCACTTTGTTGCTCTCCGTTTTTTCGTTTTCTTTACAATTGCGCGAAATATGTCCGTTCTGGTTACACTTAAAACATTTAGTGCCGCGCTCTTTGTTCTTGCAATTATTGGAAAGGTGTCCTTTTTCGCCACAGTTATAACAAGAAACCTCTTTTTTAAAATTCTTGTTAGGTGTTGCCACTTTCTTGCTATAAAGCGCATCGTCGTTTCGCTTTGGCTTCTCACGGTCGTACCCTTTCTCTCGCTCATTTTTAATGACATAACATTTCATCTTCTCTTTGAATTCAGTAATATTTCGGGCACCGTATAGGAGAGTTTTGTCAATTGAGTAATCGTCTATGCCATCAATTACGTACTGTATCAAAACCGAATCACAAATGTCTCCACAAATTGCCAGATCCTTCATTCGGTACAAGTATGCGAAACAACACTCGCCCTTTGCGCGTTTGCTTTTGCTCAACTGCTCGTGGATTTGTTTGCTGTTCACAATAGTTTTAAACTCATTTAAGAGAGCAATTTTTAGCGCATTCCAGGTGCTCAGACCTCTTTCACTCATAATGAACAATTTAGCAGTTCCTCTCAGCGATTTTTTCGCAAATATCAACTTCTGAACGTCATTCCAGCACATTATTACGGCTTGCTCTTCGAATTCAGTTAACCACGACTCGACGGAAATTGAGTTAGTACCGTCAAAGGTGCGAATCGAATCTTCCATGTCGCGAAAACTAAAAGAAAATCTTGGTGATGCCACTTCGTTGCCAAATTTTGACGACTTCTCTTTCTCTGCATTTTTGGCAAAATTAGGCGTGTGGATCTTCCGCTTACAAATACATCGTCATTTTCATCTTCGTCGTCTGAGGAATCAATTTGATTGTATGCGAGGAGTTTGTTTTGCATCAAATTGCGAAATATGTGGAGTCCGACGTCGTCTACGTTGTAGGTTATGTTCAACACATTGCAAATTGAAGCCAGATCGCGTTCGTTTAGATTTTCCTGCACATACCTTTCCTTCGCTAAGTAATTTTCCGAGCTTTCGTCGAAATCGAAACCGGAAAAATTTCGAAGTCGTTGGCGGTTGCTTCTATCACCCACGCTCTCAAACACGTACTTGTGAAGGGCTACAATGTTCTCCCTCTTGCTATTGCGCAAATTTTCACTTATGAAAGCATTTAAACAACTCATGGTGGTGAAAAATTAAATTTTAAGGCGTCGAATTATTATTTTAAATTATGTGTGTAATTTCGTCTTTTCTCAATTTTTTTTTTTTTTTTTTGTTTTTCACTTCTTTGTTTTTTGCTGGTTCACATCGCACATCGCACTCGGCTTCGGTTTTACTTTTAACTTTTAATGTGGGATTTTTAAGTTTATTAGTTGAATATTAAAGTTTATTTGTAGTTTAGATTTAGTTAAGTATAATATAAAGAAATTAACATGGGTAAATTAGAATTTCACTCGTCTTTTTCGTCTTCTGGCCAACGTCTTAGGACCGTTCTCTTCAAAGGCTCGAACTCAACTCCTCCTTCGTTTCTCGTCGTCTTCCCGTCGTCTTCTCGTCGTCTCCTTGTCGTTCATCTTTCATATCTCTTACTTCTCGTCTTTCATCTTTACTTCTTCATATCGTTCTTGAATTTCGTCGTTCGTCTTGATCAGCTCAAAAAGGTTGTTGTCTAGGGTAAACTTATTGTGGAATGGTTGCTACCCAAAGCAGACACACCCCACATAAATACACATCTCGTGAGCGTAACCAAGCTGTAGAGAGCTTTGGCTCGATTGAAGTTGAAAATTCTGATCACATCGTCTGCATTTTCAAACCGCTCCAGAGACTCCACTGAAGCACAAGTCTAAATTGTTTTTCTTTTTAAATACTTTAAAACTGCAAATAGTGAAAATACTTGTGAATATTATATAAAAATACTGTGGAAAAATTTCAAAATCTAATAAAAAGTCAAATCAAAGACTCAAATCGGTAAAACACTTAACAAATTACACAAAAGGTAAATGCTTCTATAAAATCTAGGAAACAATAGAAATCTTTAAAAAATACTTCCTTAATATTTAAGGCGAATAAGTTTAATATATCTTGAACTTAAAAACCCATTATCAAAAGCTTTCCTTTTGAAAACCATTAATAAAACAATTATATGGGGAAATTTATTATTCATACCTGTAATTCAATGAATTTAGCAACTCTGAATGGATATAAGGTTCATGTTAAATTCATTTTATCTCAGTTAAGATTTGTTAACTAAACCTAAATCTAGTCACCAAAATTTAAAAAAATTATTAAGTTTTTATATATATGTGCTTCCAATAATTAAATTTATGTGACTTAAATCGAATAAATGTGGCCCCTAGAAGAATACAAAACATTGAAATTTTAATATCAGTCTAAGCTAGCTAATAGTCATTGCAATTTATAACTGAAAACAAATGTATTTCAATATTTTGTTTAATTAAAACGTTTTTTAGGTTCAATTTTTAAATGCTTTGAATATTTTTTTTCAGAGTAACTAAATATGAATATATTTATTTATTAAAACTGGGTATTTAAACTATTAACTATTACCATTTTTTGAGTGATACGGTCTCCCCTAGAAATGCAATATTCTTCTTCAAATATTGAGAACCAAAAAAGCAATCACTGTGAAGTTGAGGGCAACAAAAATGTAATGAATACACAGGGGACGACGTGAACTTAAATATTAAACTACACTGGCCAACAGTATTATTGGTACAGCCTATGGGCATTAAATAATGTTAATATTGACTTATCTAAGCATAACTCCCTACTTGTGAGTACTTTCTTGTACAAAAAGTTTGTTAGGGTTTTGTCATGTTGTTATCCTGTATTATAAATATATATTTTTTTTCCAAGTGCATATTTTCAATGCTGTGTCCATCTAAACTGTGAGACAGTGATGTCGTTATTTGAGATTATAAGTATGTATACTTATACCCTAACTAATCGGCATGCAGCAGCAGAGCTCCGGCAGAGTCCGGCTCACAGGTCAAGACTTCGTAAGGCTTCGGCATGAGTCTTCGACAATTATATTTACAGCTTTGGAGCACTGTTTGGCGTTTTCAGCTAATTTTGGCATTGGGTTGTTCAGCTGTCAATCTAGAAACATACACAGAAAAATGTTTGATTACGAGTAGGGAATAAAATCATTTATATAGAAACAATTGGATAAGGACGCGGATTGCTTTATATGTCATTTTGGTTATGGAAAATTAAACATTATTTAATATCAAGAGACATTTTATTATTATTATTAAAGGGGGACCGTTTGCCCATTCTATATTGGATGTGGACAATTTAGCTTTAACAAATGTTTTTATACTGTTATATTTTAATTGATTTTTTTCTTTATTCATTGTTTGTGTTTTTGGGCAGTGTACAGCAGTAAAAACGTAAGGAACACAGCCACCTTCGGGTTTTTCGTACTCTCACAAATACAATAAGCGCATGGCATAGTATGCGAGCCGCTCGCATAAACAATGTTAAGCTACAAAGAGCTGGCTCAATTTATACTACTCCAGGGACTCGACTGGCGTAAATTTGGATGCTATTAGTTACTTGAATATAATAACTCACAAAATATTAAAAATGTAAGTAAAAAATATGTTTATAAGTGATAAATTCCAATTCTCCATACAATTGCTGGGTAAAAATCTATGCAGGAAACTATTTCTTATCCAACATCAAGTCAAATTAAATTCTTGAGGAGAAAACCATTAACAAATAAAAAACCTAAATACTGTATATATATAAATAACGTTTTTCGCTGTTTTAATGCCTTTATGATCTTTTAAATGGTGAACTCGAAAACTTATTAAATAACACATGTTCATTTTTGTGCCCTTGCTGAGGGCATCATAATTTCAGTGAAAAATTTGCAACTGTGTGAACAGCACGTTTCTGACCCTATAAAGAGTATATATTCTTGATCAGCATCGCCAGGGGAGTCGATCTAACCATGCCCGTCTGTCTGTCGGCTTCTACTCATGCTAAGCCCTCAGCTTTTATGTTTTTGGATAAAACTTTGCAAAAAGTCTTCTTTCTGTTGCAGGTTGGAGTGGGCTGTATCAATCTACTATATCATATAGCTCCTACATTTTTCATGATTTTATATAGAGTACTTGTTACACAAAAGTTTGCTATGAATATATTAATATTGGCCTATAGTTATGTTTGAGTTAAATGGTGAGCAGTAGGAGCGACATGTAAATCGTATTTATTTAAGCCGGCATTTATTTAACATACCAACACAACGATAGTCTTCTGCCGGGTGGTCATATTACACATGACTTGAAAATGTGCTGGCCATTGGACTTTTGTATATTTTATTGAAGCAAAGTGCTTCAATGAATTTAATGGTATTAGGTACAGTGTGTACCTGATATGTGCGCATAATAAATTTCCCTCTTTTTAAAACATAACAGCTAATAAGTGAAAAAAAATTTTTTCGTGGTTTTTCTTTAAAAAAAATTTGTATGATAAACTCTATTATACCCTTGCAGAGAGTATTAAGTATTAAGCTTGCAACGCAGTGAAGGAGACATTTCCGACCGTCTGTCCGTTTCTGCTCAAACTAGTCCCTCAGTTTTAAAGCTATCAGCTTGAAACTTTCCCAAAAAATGTATTTCTATTGCAGGTAGTATATAAGTCGGAACGGGCGACTATATCATATAGCTCCCATCGGAACAATCGGAAACCAAATTTTAAATGGTATAACCTTATTGTTTAATATTTTGTTTTGTTCTTTGGGATTTGCCAATATTTAAATACTATGGAATTACGGTTTTAATTAAATTAAAATCGGACATATCATATAAGAAAATTAAAAAATTAAAAAAACTATAATGTAAAAAACAAGTATTTTCTATTAATCAAAATATTCTTTTGAGATTTAATAATTAATTACTATATAAGAATTACGCTTTTAGTTTAGCTTTTAGCTGCCATAGAAACGATGGAAATTTAGGCATTTTGTAATAACTGCAAAAAATATATAAGCTTCGGCTTGCCGAAGTTTGCTTTATTTCTTGTTTGTATCGGAAATCTTGGGAAAAATAGTATAAAAAGTTATAAACAAACTTAACAAAAAAGTAGCGTTTAGCATAATAAAAGAAAACATAATTTAAAAACCAAAACGAAAAATTAAATGGGTTTCAGAAAAAAATCTTTTATATTATCAATTCGCAGTAAAAGGCAGTGAAAAATAAAAAATACACAGTTTAACTTGTTAACATGTTAAGTAATATTTAAAAATGGTACCACATTTTTTCTAAGTGCAAATTTTAAATACAGAATGCGCATTTTCCCAATTTTTCGCTGTATATATGTATGAAAGTATGCTTGTGAGCCAAACATATGTACAAAATATTATTTTATGTAAATAAATACACATCTCGTGAGCGTAACCAAGCTGTAGAGAGCTTTGGCTCGATTGAAGTTGAAAATTATGATCACATCGTCTGCATTTTCAAACCGCTCCAGAGACTCCACTGAAGCACAAGTCTAAATTGTTTTTCTTTTTAAATACTTTAAAACTGCAAATAGTGAAAATACTTGTGAATATTATATAAAAATACTGTGGAAAAATTTCAAAATCTAATAAAAAGTCAAATCAAAGACTCAAATCGGTAAAACACTTAACAAATTACACAAAAGGTAAATGCTTCTATAAAATCTAGGAAACAATAGAAATCTTTAAAAAATACTTCCTTAATATTTAAGGCGAATAAGTTTAATATATCTTGAACTTAAGGGGTTATCCGGGTCTTGACACTTCAAAAAATTCATTTTTTTCAAACTTTTTTAAATAATAGTACAGAGTTTCAGAAATGTAGTCTGAAAATTTCAAGTCGATCGAGGCAAAAATGTAGGAATGGGAGAAATTTAAAGCCCAGTGCGTCGAACGTCACAACAGGCAATTCTGGCTCTGGCGTCGGGCAGATGCGGCACTTTAAACGCGTTTTTCTCAAAACCACTTTTTTGAAGTCGGTAGTCACGATTTCTCAAAAACTATTGCACCGATCAACTTCTGCTTTTGCACACTTCTTTTAGGCATAATTCTCTTGTCCTTAACGGAGGGAGGTTTTTTTAATTTTTAATTACAGCTCATTTTATAAGCCAAAAAATGGCCAACATTTACGTAAAAAAAGACACTTTTAATGAAAAGCGCTACAAAAAATTCAAATTTTAATTTAAAAAAAAAATGGTTCGTAGAGGACAAGCGAGACACATACACTATCAGAATAATATTGGCTTTTTGATTTCAGATAAAAATTGACGGAGATATTTTGCCTACCACAAAGACACAATTTTTTAAGAGGTCAAGTTCAAGCCTGCCTCAACGGCTCAATTTTAAAAATTTTTGGTTCAAATTTTTACACAATGTTGGTCAAACCATAAACATTAATGTACAATAAACGAAATTTGTGAAATTGTCGTAAGATCTTTTAAAAAAATTCACGAAAATAGGCTTTTTTCGTGCTCCAAGACCCGGATAACCCCTTAAAAACCCATTATCAAAAGCTTTCCTTTTGAAAACCATTAATAAAACAATTATATGGGGAAATTTATTGTTCATACCTGTAATTCAATGAATTTAGCAACTCTGAATGGATATAAGGTTCATGTTAAATTCATTTTATCTCAGTTAAGATTTGTTAACTAAACCTAAATCTAGTCACCAAAATTTAAAAAAATTATTAAGTTTTTATATATATGTGCTTCCAATAATTAAATTTATGTGACTTAAATCGAATAAATGTGGCCCCTAGAAGAATACAAAACATTGAAATTTTAATATCAGTCTAAGCTAGCTAATAGTCATTGCAATTTATAACTGAAAACAAATGTATTTCAATATTTTGTTTAATTAAAACGTTTTTCAGGTTCAATTTTTAAATGCTTTGAATATTTTTTTTCAGAGTAACTAAATATGAATATATTTATTTATTAAAACTGGGTATTTAAACTATTAACTATTACCATTTTTTGAGTGATACGGTCTCCCCTAGAAATGCAATATTCTTCTTCAAATATTGAGAACCAAAAAAGCAATCACTGTGAAGTTGAGGGCAACAAAAATGTAATGAATACACAGGGGACGACGTGAACTTAAATATTAAACTACACTGGCCAACAGTGTTATTGGTACAGCCTATGGGCATTAAATAATGTTAATATTGACTTATCTAAGCATAACTCCCTACTTGTGAGTACTTTCTTGTACAAAAGTTTGTTAGGGTTTTGTCATGTTGTTATCCTGTATTATAAATATATTTTTTTCCAAGTGCATATTTTCAATGCTGTGTCCATCTAAACAGTGAGACAGTGATGTCGTTATTTGAGATTATAAGTATGTATACTTATACCCCAACTAATCGGCATAGGATAGCGTTTTGCTGACTGAGGAGCAGCAGAGCTCCGGCAGAGTCCGGCTTCGACAATTATATTTACAGCTTTGGAGCACTGTTTGGCGTTTTCAGCTAATTTTGGCATTGGGTTGTTCAGCTGTCAATCTAGAAACATACACAGAAAAATGTTTGATTACGAGTAGGGAATAAAATCATTTATATAGAAACAATTGGATAAGGACGCGGATTGCTTTATATGTCATTTTGGTTATGGAAAATTAAACATTATTTAATATCAAGAGACATTTTATTATTATTATTAAAGGGGGACCGTTTGCCCATTCTATATTGGATGTGGACAATTTAGCTTTAACAAATGTTTTTTATACTGTTATATTTTAATTGATTATTTTCTTTATTCATTGTTTGTGTTTTTTGGGCAGTGTACAGCAGTAAAAACGTAAGGAACACAGCCACCTTCGGGTTTTTCGTACTCTCACAAATACAATAAGCGCATGGCATAGTATGCGAGCCGCTCGCATAAACAATGTTAAGCTACAAAGAGCTGGCTCAATTTATACTACTCCAGGGACTCGACTGGCGTAAATTTGGATGCTATTAGTTACTTGAATATAATAACTCACAAAATAATAAAAATGTAAGTAAAAAAATATGTTTATAAGTGATAAATTCCAATTCTCCATACAATTGCTGGGTAAAAATCTATGCAGGAAACTATTTCTTATCCAACATCAAGTCAAATTAAATTCTTGAGGAGAAAACCATTAACAAATAAAACAAGAGAGAACGCTATAGTCGGGTGCCCCGACTATCAGATACCCGTTACTCAGCTAAAGGGAGTGCGAGGGAGATGGAGATAGAAACTTTGATCACGCATAACTTTTTAACGAATTGTCCGATTTGAAAAATTTCTTCTACATTTCGATAGGTATTGATACATACAATAAAACTGTATTTTTACTTTTTCGAAATATTTAAATTTTTAAAATCGTATATAGGCGATTGTGGGCGTTAAAGGGGGCGTGGCACCTTTTTGAAACAAACTTGCGCTGCGTAAGAACTCTTAGAATCTGCATGCAAAATGCCAATCTTCTAGCTTTTATAGTTTCCGAGATCTCAGCGTTCATACGGACGGACAGACAGACGGACAGACAGACAGACGGACAGACGGACATGGCTATATCGACTCGGCTAGTGACCCTGATCAAGAATATATATACTTTATAGGGTCGGAAACGCTTCCTTCTAGCTGTTACATACTTTTGCACGAATACAATATACCCTTTTACTCTACGAGTAACGGGTATAAAAACCTAAATACTGTATATATATAAATAACGTTTTTCGCTGTTTTAATGCCTTTATGATCTTTTAAATGGTGAACTCGAAAACTTATTAAATAACACATGTTCATTTTTGTGCCCTTGCTGAGGGCATCATAATTTCAGTGAAAAATTTGCAACTCTGTGAACAGCACGTTTCTGACCCTATAAAGAGTATATATTCTTGATCAGCATCGCCAGGGAGTCGATCTAACCATGCCCGTCTGTCTGTCGGCTTCTACTCATGCTAAGCCCTCAGCTTTTATGTTTTTTGGATAAAACTTTGCAAAAAGTCTTCTTTCTGTTGCAGGTTGGAGTGGGCTGTATCAATCTACTATATCATATAGCTCCTACATTTTTCATGATTTTATATAGAGTACTTGTTACACATAAGTTTGCTATGAATATATTAATATTGGCCTATAGTTATGTTTGAGTTAAATGGTGAGCAGTAGGAGCGACATGTAAATCTTATTTATTTAAGCCGGCATTTATTTAACATACCAACACAACGATAGTCTTCTGCCGGGTGGTCATATTACACATGACTTGAAAATGTGCTGGCCATTGGACTTTTGTATATTTTATTGAAGCAAAGTGCTTCAATGAATTTAATGGTATTAGGTACAGTGTGTACCTGATATGTGCGCATAATAAATTTCCCTCTTTTTAAAACATAACAGCTAATAAGTGAAAAAATTTTTTTTGTGGTTTTTCTTTAAAAAAATTTGTATGATAAACTCTATTATACCCTTGCAGAGAGTATTAAGTATTAAGCTTGCAACGCAGTGAAGGAGACATTTCCGACCGTCTGTCCGTTTCTGCTCAAACTAGTCCCTCAGTTTTAAAGCTATCAGCTTGAAACTTTCCCAAAAAATGTATTTCTATTGCAGGTAGTATATAAGTCGGAACGGGCGACTATATCATATAGCTCCCATCGGAACAATCGGAAACCAAATTTTAAATGATATAACCTTATTGTTTAATATTTTGTTTTGTTCTTTGGGATTTGCCAATATTTAAATACTATGGAATTACGGTTTTAATTAAATTAAAATCGGACATATCATATAAGAAAATTAAAAAATTAAAAAAACTATAATGTAAAAAACAAGTATTTTCTATTAATCAAAATATTCTTTTGAGATATAATAATTAATTACTATATAAGAATTACGCTTTTAGTTTAGCTTTTAGCTGCTATAGAAACGATGGAAATTTAGGCATTTTGTAATAACTGCAAAAAATATATAAACTTCGGCTTGCCGAAGTTTGCTTTATTTCTTGTTTGTATCGGAAATCTTGGGAAAAATAGTATAAAAAGTTATAAACAAACTTAACAAAAAAGTAGCGTTTAGCATAATAAAAGAAAACATAATTTAAAAACCAAAACGAAAAATTAAATGGGTTACAGAAAAAAATCTTTTATATTATCAATTCGCAGTAAAAGGCAGTGAAAAATAAAAAATACACAGTTTAACTTGTTAACATGTTAAGTAATATTTAAAAATGGTACCACATTTTTTCTAAGTGCAAATTTTAAATACAGAATGCGCATTTTCCCGATTTTTTCGCTGTATATATGTATGAAAGTATGCTTGTGAGCCAAACATATGTACAAAATATTATTTTATGTAAATAAATACACATCTCGTGAGCGTAACCAAGCTGTAGAGAGCTTTGGCTCGATTGAAGTTGAAAATTCTGATCACATCGTCTGCATTTTCAAACCGCTCCAGAGACTCCACTGAAGCACAAGTCTAAATTGTTTTTCTTTTTAAATACTTTAAAACTGCAAATAGTGAAAATACTTGTGCATATTATATAACAATACTGTGGAAAAATTTCAAAATCTAATAAAAAGTCAAATCAAAGACTCAAATCGGTAAAACACTTAACAAATTACACAAAAGGTAAATGCTTCTATAAAATCTAGGAAACAATAGAAATCTTTAAAAAATACTTCCTTAATATTTAAGGCGAATAAGTTTAATATATCTTGAACTTAAAAACCCATTATCAAAAGCTTTTCTTTTGAAAACCATTAATAAAACAATTATATGGGGAAATTTATTGTTCATACCTGTAATTCAATGAATTTAGCAATTTTGAATGGATATAAGGTTCATGTTAAATTCATTTTATCTCAGTTAAGATTTGTTAACTAAACCTAAATCTAGTCACCAAAATTTAAAAAAATTATTAAGTTTTTATATATATGTGCTTCCAATAATTAAATTTATGTGACTAGAAGAATAAAAAACATTGAAATTTTAATACCAGTCTAAGCTAGCTAATAGTCATTGCAATTTATAACTAAAAACAAATGTATTTCAATATTTTGTTTAATTAAAACGTTTTTCAGGTTCAATTTTTAAATGCTTTGAATATTTTTTTTCAGAGTAACTAAATATGAATATATTAGTTATAAAACTGGGTATTTAAACTATTAACTATTACCATTTTTTGAGTGATACGGTCTCCCCTAGAAATGCAATATTCTTCTTCAAATATTGAGAACCAAAAAAGCAATCACTGTGAAGTTGAGGGCAACAAAAATGTAATGAATACACAGGGGACGACGTGAACTTAAATATTAAACTACACTGGCCAACAGTGTTATTGGTACAGCCTATGGGCATTAAATAATGTTAATATTGACTTATCTAAGCATAACTCCCTACTTGTGAGTACTTTCTTGTACAAAAAGTTTGTTAGGGTTTTGTCATGTTGTTATCCTGTATTATAAATATATATTTTTTTTCCAAGTGCATATTTTCAATGCTGTGTCCATCTAAACTGTGAGACAGTGATGTCGTTATTTGAGATTATAAGTATGTATACTTATACCCTAACTAATCGGCATGCAGCAGCAGAGCTCCGGCAGAGTCCGGCTCACAGGTCAAGACTTCGTAAGGCTTCGGCATGAGTCTTCGACAATTATATTTACAGCTTTGGAGCACTGTTTGGCGTTTTCAGCTAATTTTGGCATTGGGTTGTTCAGCTGTCAATCTAGAAACATACACAGAAAAATGTTTGATTACGAGTAGGGAATAAAATCATTTATATAGAAACAATTGGATAAGGACGCGGATTGCTTAATATGTCATTTTGGTTATGGAAAATTAAACATTATTTAATATCAAGAGACATTTTATTATTATTATTAAAGGGGGACCGTTTGCCCATTCTATATTGGATGTGGACAATTTAGCTTTAACAAATGTTTTTTATACTGTTATATTTTAATTAATTTTTTTCCTTATTCATTGTTTGTGTTTATTGGGCAGTGCAAAGCAGTAAAAACGTAAGGAATGCAGCCATCTTCGGGTTTTTCGTACTCTCACAAATACAATAAGCGCATGGCATAGTATGCGAGCCGCTCGCATAAACAATGTTAAGCTACAAAGAGCTGACTCAATTTAAACTACTCCAGGGACTCGACTGGACACAAGCGTAAATTTGGATGCTTGAGTTACTTGAATATAATAACTCACAAAATATTAAAAATGTAAGTATAAAATATGTTTATAAGTGATAAATTCCAATTCTCCATACAATTGCTGGGTAACAATGTATGCAGGAAACTATTTCTTATCCAACATCAAGTCAAATTAAATTCTTGAGGAGAAAACCATAAACAAATAAAAACCCTAAATACTGTATATATATAAATAACGTTTTTCGCTGTTTTAATGCCTTTATGATCTTTAATTTGTGAACTCGAAAACTTATTAAATAACACATGTTCATTTTTGTGCCCTTGCTGAGGGAATCATAATTTCAGTGAAAATTTGCATTGCAGTAAACAGCACGTTTCTGACCCTATAAAGAGTATATATTCTTGATCAGCATCGCCAGGGGAGTCGATCTAACCATGCCCGTCTGTCTGTCGGTTTCTACTCATGCTAAGCCCTTAGCTTTTAAGTTTTTTGGATAAAACATTGCAAAAAGTCTTCTTTCTGTTGCAGGTCGGAGTGGGCTGTATCAATCTACTATATCATATAGCTCCCATATTTTTATGGTTTTATATGGCTTCAGTACGAACGATCGAAAAATGTATAGAAAAATCGACCTAGCTTCAACTTCTTTAAGCATTGATATCGGAACATAGAATATTTATGTTTTGTAACAGCTGCAAGGGTATATAAACTTCGGCTTCCCGAAGCTTGGTTTTTGCTTTATATTTTCTATCTGCTTAATAAATTTAAAAAAAATAGGAAATTGCCAAAACCAATTTAAATGTCGTTTTACTAGAAGAATACAACAAATTCGAATGAATTATTTTTTTAAAATGCCTGAAAGGCTTAACTGAAAAGAAATATATTACAATTAAAGTGGCTTCAAAGCCATGGAAATTATTTTTTACAACCACAAAAATTAGTCAATTAAAATTCTCTATAAAACATTTTTTTGTGAATTGATCTTTTATAAATGTTCTCTACATGTCGTATAAAGTAGCCAATAAGGTTTGATTTTCTTGATAATAATACTATAATTTTCTTGCATGATTAATTTAAGGTTTATAATTCCAGTTATTGACGTCTCCGTGAATAAAATAGTAAAGTCATCATCATACTTTAATTTAATAAATAAATAAATGTATATACGGCTTTATATAAATGGTTTAATAAAACAAATTAAATAATGTTTTAAAGTAATCGAAATACATTAATACAACTAAATTCAATATTGGACTGCATGGGAAATTTCGGTACCAAAAAGTATGTATTATCAAAAGAAAAACTAAAAATAAGTAAAACAAAAAAGGGCCTTGTTGTGTTTCATTTACTTTTACAGAGACAAATTCTCAACCACTGTGTGCTAGTATGCCTTGAAGAAAATGTAAGTTTAACGAAAAAGTCAAATATAAACATAAAATAATTTTGTATATTTCAGCCTTGTTGAATATTTATTTGTATTCCACCGCCTTCAGTTTTACACTGAAAAATAATCAGCCAAACATAAAAGATGCCTAGATAGAATCCATGGTTTGTCTTACCAAGTTTTATTTCTCATGTGTAAACTTAATTTACTGAGAGACTATGCTTCAAAGCTGTATGTTAGTATGCCTTAAGAAAAATGTAAGTTTAGCTAAAAAAGTCAAATATAAATATATGTATATTAATTTAATTTTCTTGTAGCTAGACCTTGTTACATTTTTTTTTAATCGAACGACTTCAGTTTTAAAATGAAAAATAATCAGCCAATAATAGAAGAATATCCATTTAAAAGTCATGGTTCGTGTTACCCAACATATGCTAATAATGTAATTCCCATATATAAAGTTAATTTAATTATATGGGTCCCGGAATTCCGTCATTTACTTTTGTTTCTCCTAGCATAATTAATTTTAACTATATTTTTGTATTTTTACAACCCAAGCGAAGACAAGTTTATAACTGCTGTGTTTTTATTGTCTACATTTTCCCAAAAAATAGTATATAATTTTCGTTTTAAATATTTTTATATTCGAAATTTTATTATTTAGTTTAGTTTATTTAAAATATCTGAAGTCTTTGGAGAAATGTGCGATCACAGATGCAGCAGCCGAGAGAGTATGAGTATTAAGATCTAAGCTGCGCAGCTAATACTTGGACTCTCTCGGCTTGCATTCTAAATTTGCACAGAATTTGTTTTCGAAGTTCTTGCTTTTTTTCTTTTATTTATTTATTATGTTTATTTATACAACAATGTACAACAATCTTTTTTGTAACACCTTAATGCTTTATAAAAAATTAAAAGATTAATGTACTCTGTTTTATAGGTGTTTAAAATAATTTCCAATAATATGTCCTCAAATTTAAAAATTGTATTCGAAAATTGGGTATTTTTAATAATTATTGGAAATCATCATGCCTTTTTAACGTACTCCTTATTACCGTTATAGACTTGGTTATAATGCTTGGAATAAGTTTTAGGAGAATGTTTTTGAATATGGGTTGGATAATTCATAAATGGATTAAAATATTATAATATAATATATAAAATGTACCTAAATTTTGTTAAAAAGCCTCGCCAACTTGGATTAAATGTACCGAACTATTACAATAAAAACGTGTATGAAGTTATTGCCTATTAATACATTATTTCAATTGTAGCTTAGTTTAACCACTTTAAATCGTCAAGAATTTAAGATCGAAAAAATAATGGTATGTTTAATTCTTAGTAAAATGTAATTCAGATCTGTAGTCTATTATATCGAATTCATATAGAGAACAAAATGATCTTTTATATAGATAATTATGAGCCGAGACAATCTAGCGATTTTCTTCGAGCTTAAAACAATATTTTGGATTAGCAAAAATTTAATACTATATGCGCATTTTTCATTAAGCTGTTTACGGACAAACAAGTTGGGCGAAAAAATCTCATAGAAACAGAAGAATAAATCTATGTTGACTCGTCGGGCATTGGTCGATGGTCATTTATATTTAGTAGGCTCAGAAAATTCCTTTTTTTAACCAAAATATTTTAATTCGATATTAAACAAAATTTACTTGAGTAATAAGGTCTTTCCCTAAAAATACAATATTCGTTTTTAAATATTATAAACAGAGCACCACGTGAACTTAAGTATTAAATTATACTGGGCAAAAGTGTTATTGGTGCAGCCCCATTGGCATTTAATTGATATTGCCTTATCTAACCATATTTGCGTGCGAGTGAGTATTATTTGTACAAACACTTTGTAAAGGTTTTTGTTATCCTGTGTTATAATATTTATTTTTTGAAGTGTATATTTTGAATGCTGTGTCTACATTTTTTATTTGTTTGCTAGGGTAATATTGCTCTTTTGTATGCATTCTGGAGTCTGAACATTGATTCCTTGGCCTAATCATCTATATTATATAGAGGTGTGATGTTGTAATTACTGTTATATGTATTGTTTAAATTAGGGGTTTTACTAAACACAAGCTAATAAGCTAAACAAATACAAAAAGCGCATGGCATAGTATGCGAGCCGCTCGCATAAAAAATATCAAGCTACAAAGAGCTTTCGGCTCAATTTAAACTACTCCAGGGACTCGACTGGATATAAGCGTAAATTTGGATACTATTAAATACTTGAATATAATAACTCACAAAATATTAAAAATGTAAGTAAAAAATTTGTTTATAAGTGATAAATTCCAATTCTTCATACAAATGCTGGGTAAAAATCTATGCTGGAAACTATTTCTTATCCAACATCAAGTCAAATTAAATTCTTAAGGAGAAAACCATAAACAAATAAAAAAACCTAAATACTTTATAAGAGTAAACACTCTTACCGTTTACCAACATTATATATTAATATAAGTTTAAAGTTTAGTTTTTTATTTTTCAAATGTACCATTAGACCATGTTCTTAGCCGTTATTTTTTTTTTTTTTTTTTTTTTTTTTCATGTTAAGATTCTGAGTTACAGATAGGAATAGATAATGATCCTCATAGACAGACCACTCTCAAAAGGTAGTCTCTCCTATGTCGGTGGGGACAGGTAAGAGTGTCTTTAATTTACTCCCCAGTGATCCCTCTCGACAGTCTGCAAGGGTTCTCTTTATAGAGTAATTGAATAAACGCATTTTGTCTGTATATGTCCAATTTATCTTGTCCATGTACTCAAACCAATCATCTGCATCTCTACCTTCTGGTTCCTTATCAGTTGCAATCCGGATGCCAGCTTGTGCAGCTCTTAAGGCCTCTCTAACTTGAAGATTTTCCTCATGGATCTTGAGATCCTCTTCTGACAGGAAGAACATTTGTGAATTCATTGATCTTCCTGCATGCGCATAACCCAGTAATATACTATTCATTAAGGTAGAGCTGGAGGAATCAATTTCATGGTACACAGCATTCCTTGCTCTTGTGTTTCCCATAAGAATTGCAGCTGTATTGGCAAAGAAATAAAAGTTGGCATTTAGAACGGATGAATATGGTGATTTTATTGTCAATCCAAAATCAATGAGGTAAGGAAAATAAGAGTTGACTTGGTCAATTTCCTCTCCTGGCTTAGTTATTCTTATGAATTGTTTGGAAATAACTTCATTTCCTAACCATAGTGACAGTTGATTCTCTTCAGACGCCCCCATTGTGTGCTTCAGATTAAAAAGAGATGTTAGAGCTGCACAATCCTTGTATCTAGAGCTAACTGTTCCGAATCGGACCAAATCAAACTGAAGTCCTGGAAATTTGACATAGAACATGTCAATGGTCGCGATCATTTTCCTGAAGTTTTGGTCATCTTTCCATGCTCCATATGTTATTGCCATTTCGTCATAACCGGGAGCTGTTGAAGGACGAACGATTTCACTCTGTCCCTTAAGTGATTCAGATAACCTTGATCTATAATCAGCATATGATGTTCGACTCAATCTATACACGGATAAAATTGATGCCAATGCCCAGTATGCATATTGACTTTCTCCACTTCTTTGTGGGAGATTGACAGTATTTCCTGTTTCGGAGACTAACACTGGACTGAAAGGTGTTACCTTCTCATTTTTTAATCCAATCTTTACACCAAATGAATACCAATCTTCCTCCAAGGTTCCCTCTACTTTGGACAATTCAGTATAAACATAGAGCATTGCAAGGTCTTTTGATAGAGTTCCTGAAATTAGATGTTCAATAACATTGATTCTAAGCATTTCTATAGAGTAAGTTAGTCCAGTAGGACACTGCGGAATGACAAGAGTCGGTTTTTCTTTGGTATTATTAAACCATGAAGATGGATATACTGCTTCTGCTGCAGCTGGTTCAGAAGAGAAATGAACTCTTTTTCTTCCGATCTTATAGATAGCAGATGAAGTTACTTCTTTAGGTTTGACTGCTTGTTGCTGGTTTCCACGGGATGGTCCAGGAATGTTGTGTAGAGTAAAGTTAAAATATAAGTAACGTTTTTCGCTGTTTTCATGCCTATATGATCTTTTAATTTGTGAACTCGAAAACTTATTAAATAACACATTTTCATTTTTGTGCCGTTGCAGAGGTAATCGTAATTTCAGTGAAAAATTTGCAACGCAGAGAACAGCACGTTTCTGACCCTATAAAGAGTATATATTCTTGATCAGCATCGCCAGGGGAGTCGATCTAACCAATGCCCGTCTGTCTGTCGGTTTCTACTCATGCTAATCCCTCAGCTTTTAAGTTTTTTGGATAAAACATTGCAAAAAGTCTTCTTTCTGTTGCAGGTCGGAGTGGGCTGTATCAATCTACTATATCATATAGCTCCCATATTTTTATGGTTTTATATGGCTTCAGTACGAACGATCGAAAAATGTATAGAAAAATCGACCTAGCTTCATCTTCTTTAAGCATTGATATCGGAACATAGAATATTTATGTTTTGTAACAGCTGCAAGGGTATATAAACTTCGGCTTCCCGGAGCTTGGTTTTTGCTTTATATTTTCTATCTGCTTAATGAATTTAAAAAAAATAGGAAATTGCTAAAACCAATTTAAATGTCGTTTTACTAGAAGAATACAACAAATTCGAATGAATTATTTTTTTAAAATGCCTGAAAGGCTTAACTGAAAAGAAATATATTACAATTAAAGTGGCTTCAAAGCCATGGAAATGATTTTTTACAACCACAAAAATTAGTCAATTAAAATTCTCTATAAAACATTTTTTTGTGAATTGATCTTTTATAAATGTTCTCTACATGTCGTATAAAGTAGCCAATAAGGTTTGATTTTCTTGATAATAATACTATAATTTTCTTGCATGATTAATTTAAGGTTTATAATTCCAGTTATTGACGTCTCCGTGAATAAAATAGTAAAGTCATCATCATACTTTAATTTAATAAATAAATAAATGTATATACGGCTTTATATAAATGGTTTAATAAAACAAATTAAATAATGTTTTAAAGTAATCGAAATACATTAATACAACTAAATTCAATATTGGACTGCATGGGAAATTTCGGTACCAAAAAGTATGTATTATCAAAAAGAAAAACTAAAAATAAGTAAAACAAAAAAGGGCCTTGTTGTGTTTCATTTACTTTTACAGAGACAAATTCTCAACCACTGTGTGCTAGTATGCCTTGAAGAAAATGTAAGTTTAACGAAAAAAGTCAAATATAAACATAAAATAATTTTGTATATTTCAGCCTTGTTGAATATTTATTTGTATTCCACCGCCTTCAGTTTTAAACTGAAAAATAATCAGCCAAACATAAAAGATGCCTAGATAGAATCCATGGTTTGTCTTACCAAGTTTTATTTCTCATGTGTAAACTTAATTTACTGAGAGACTATGCTTCAAAGCTGTATGTTAGTATGCCTTAAGAAAAATGTAAGTTTAGCTAAAAAAGTCAAATATAAATATATGTATATTAATTTAATTTTCTTGTAGCTAGACCTTGTTACATTTTTTTTTTTAATCGAACGACTTCAGTTTTAAAATGAAAAATAATCAGCCAATAATAGAAGAATATCCATTTAAAAGTCATGGTTCGTGTTACCCAACATATGCTAATAATGTAATTCCCATATATAAAGTTAATTTAATTATATGGGTCCCGGAATTCCGTCATTTACTTTTGTTTCTCCTAGCATAATTAATTTTAACTATATTTTTGTATTTTTACAACCCAAGCGAAGACAAGTTTATAACTGCTGTGTTTTTATTGTCTACATTTTCCCAAAAAATAGTATATAATTTTCGTTTTAAATATTTTTATATTCGAAATTTTATTATTTAGTTTAGTTTATTTAAAATATCTGAAGTCTTTGGAGAAATGTGCGATCACAGATGCAGCAGCCGAGAGAGTATGAGTATTAAGATCTAAGCTGCGCAGCTAATACTTGGACTCTCTCGGCTTGCATTCTAAATTTGCACAGAATTTGTTTTCGAAGTTCTTGCTTTTTTTCTTTTATTTATTTATTATGTTTATTTATACAACAATGTACAACAATCTTTTTGTAACACCTTAATGCTTTATAAAAAATTAAAAGATTAATGTACTCTGTTTTATAGGTGTTTAAAATAATTTCCAATAATATGTCCTCAAATTTAAAAATTGTATTCGAAAATTGGGTATTTTTAATAATTATTGGAAATCATCATGCCTTTTTAACGTACTCCTTATTACCGTTATAGACTTGGTTATAATGCTTGGAATAAGTTTTAGGAGAATGTTTTTGAATATGGGTTGGATAATTCATAAATGGATTAAAATATTATAATATAATATATAAAATGTACCTAAATTTTGTTAAAAAGCCTCGCCAACTTGGATTAAATGTACCGAACTATTACAATAAAAACGTGTATGAAGTTATTGCCTATTAATACATTATTTCAATTGTAGCTTAGTTTAACCACTTTAAATCGTCAAGAATTTAAGATCGAAAAAAATAATGGTATGTTTAATTCTTAGTAAAATGTAATTCAGATCTGTAGTCTATTATATCGAATTCATATAGAGAACAAAATGATCTTTTATATAGATAATTATGAGCCGAGACAATCTAGCGATTTTCTTCGAGCTTAAAACAATATTTTGGATTAGCAAAAATTTAATACTATATGCGCATTTTTCATTAAGCTGTTTACGGACAAACAAGTTGGGCGAAAAAATCTCATAGAAACAGAAGAATAAATCTATGTTGACTCGTCGGGCATTGGTCGATGGTCATTTATATTTAGTAGGCTCAGAAAATTCCTTTTTTTAACCAAAATATTTTAATTCGATATTAAACAAAATTTACTTGAGTAATAAGGTCTTTCCCTAAAAATACAATATTCGTTTTTAAATATTATAAACAGAGCACCACGTGAACTTAAGTATTAAATTATACTGGGCAAAAGTGTTATTGGTGCAGCCCCATTGGCATTTAATTGATATTGCCTTATCTAACCATATTTGCGTGCGAGTGAGTACTATTTGTACAAACACTTTGTAAAGGTTTTTGTTATCCTGTGTTATAATATTTATTTTTTGAAGTGTATATTTTGAATGCTGTGTCTACATTTTTTATTTGTTTGCTAGGGTAATATTGCTCTTTTGTATGCATTCTGGAGTCTGAACATTGATTCCTTGGCCTAATCATCTATATTATATAGAGGTGTGATGTTGTAATTACTGTTATATGTATTGTTTAAATTAGGGGTTTTACTAAACACAAGCTAATAAGCTAAACAAATACAAAAAGCGCATGGCATAGTATGCGAGCCGCTCGCATAAAAAATATCAAGCTACAAAGAGCTTTCGGCTCAATTTAAACTACTCCAGGGACTCGACTGGATATAAGCGTAAATTTGGATACTATTAAATACTTGAATATAATAACTCACAAAATATTAAAAATGTAAGTAAAAAATTTGTTTATAAGTGATAAATTCCAATTCTTCATACAAATGCTGGGTAAAAATCTATGCTGGAAACTATTTCTTATCCAACATCAAGTCAAATTAAATTCTTAAGGAGAAAACCATAAACAAATAAAAAAACCTAAATACTTTATAAGAGTAAACACTCTTACCGTTTACCAACATTATATATTAATATAAGTTTAAAGTTTAGTTTTTTATTTTTCAAATGTACCATTAGACCATGTTCTTAGCCGTTATTTTTTTTTTTTTTTTTTTTTTTTTCATGTTAAGATTCTGAGTTACAGATAGGAATAGATAATGATCCTCATAGACAGACCACTCTCAAAAGGTAGTCTCTCCTATGTCGGTGGGGACAGGTAAGAGTGTCTTTAATTTACTCCCCAGTGATCCCTCTCGACAGTCTGCAAGGGTTCTCTTTATAGAGTAATTGAATAAACGCATTTTGTCTGTATATGTCCAATTTATCTTGTCCATGTACTCAAACCAATCATCTGCATCTCTACCTTCTGGTTCCTTATCAGTTGCAATCCGGATGCCAGCTTGTGCAGCTCTTAAGGCCTCTCTAACTTGAAGATTTTCCTCATGGATCTTGAGATCCTCTTCTGACAGGAAGAACATTTGTGAATTCATTGATCTTCCTGCATGCGCATAACCCAGTAATATACTATTCATTAAGGTAGAGCTGGAGGAATCAATTTCATGGTACACAGCATTCCTTGCTCTTGTGTTTCCCATAAGAATTGCAGCTGTATTGGCAAAGAAATAAAAGTTGGCATTTAGAACGGATGAATATGGTGATTTTATTGTCAATCCAAAATCAATGAGGTAAGGAAAATAAGAGTTGACTTGGTCAATTTCCTCTCCTGGCTTAGTTATTCTTATGAATTGTTTGGAAATAACTTCATTTCCTAACCATAGTGACAGTTGATTCTCTTCAGACGCCCCCATTGTGTGCTTCAGATTAAAAAGAGATGTTAGAGCTGCACAATCCTTGTATCTAGAGCTAACTGTTCCGAATCGGACCAAATCAAACTGAAGTCCTGGAAATTTGACATAGAACATGTCAATGGTCGCGATCATTTTCCTGAAGTTTTGGTCATCTTTCCATGCTCCATATGTTATTGCCATTTCGTCATAACCGGGAGCTGTTGAAGGACGAACGATTTCACTCTGTCCCTTAAGTGATTCAGATAACCTTGATCTATAATCAGCATATGATGTTCGACTCAATCTATACACGGATAAAATTGATGCCAATGCCCAGTATGCATATTGACTTTCTCCACTTCTTTGTGGGAGATTGACAGTATTTCCTGTTTCGGAGACTAACACTGGACTGAAAGGTGTTACCTTCTCATTTTTTAATCCAATCTTTACACCAAATGAATACCAATCTTCCTCCAAGGTTCCCTCTACTTTGGACAATTCAGTATAAACATAGAGCATTGCAAGGTCTTTTGATAGAGTTCCTGAAATTAGATGTTCAATAACATTGATTCTAAGCATTTCTATAGAGTAAGTTAGTCCAGTAGGACACTGCGGAATGACAAGAGTCGGTTTTTCTTTGGTATTATTAAACCATGAAGATGGATATACTGCTTCTGCTGCAGCTGGTTCAGAAGAGAAATGAACTCTTTTTCTTCCGATCTTATAGATAGCAGATGAAGTTACTTCTTTAGGTTTGACTGCTTGTTGCTGGTTTCCACGGGATGGTCCAGGAATGTTGTGTAGAGTAAAGTTAAAATATAAGTAACGTTTTTCGCTGTTTTCATGCCTATATGATCTTTTAATTTGTGAACTCGAAAACTTATTAAATAACACATTTTCATTTTTGTGCCGTTGCAGAGGTAATCGTAATTTCAGTGAAAAATTTGCAACGCAGAGAACAGCACGTTTCTGACCCTATAAAGAGTATATATTCTTGATCAGCATCGCCAGGGGAGTCGATCTAACCAATGCCCGTCTGTCTGTCGGTTTCTACTCATGCTAATCCCTCAGCTTTTAAGTTTTTTGGATAAAACATTGCAAAAAGTCTTCTTTCTGTTGCAGGTCGGAGTGGGCTGTATCAATCTACTATATCATATAGCTCCCATATTTTTATGGTTTTATATGGCTTCAGTACGAACGATCGAAAAATGTATAGAAAAAATCGACCTAGCTTCATCTTCTTTAAGCATTGATATCGGAACATAGAATATTTATGTTTTGTAACAGCTGCAAGGGTATATAAACTTCGGCTTCCCGGAGCTTGGTTTTTGCTTTATATTTTCTATCTGCTTAATGAATTTAAAAAAAATAGGAAATTGCTAAAACCAATTTAAATGTCGTTTTACTAGAAGAATACAACAAATTCGAATGAATTATTTTTTTAAAATGCCTGAAAGGCTTAACTGAAAAGAAATATATTACAATTAAAGTGGCTTCAAAGCCATGGAAATGATTTTTTACAACCACAAAAATTAGTCAATTAAAATTCTCTATAAAACATTTTTTTGTGAATTGATCTTTTATAAATGTTCTCTACATGTCGTATAAAGTAGCCAATAAGGTTTGATTTTCTTGATAATAATACTATAATTTTCTTGCATGATTAATTTAAGGTTTATAATTCCAGTTATTGACGTCTCCGTGAATAAAATAGTAAAGTCATCATCATACTTTAATTTAATAAATAAATAAATGTATATACGGCTTTATATAAATGGTTTAATAAAACAAATTAAATAATGTTTTAAAGTAATCGAAATACATTAATACAACTAAATTCAATATTGGACTGCATGGGAAATTTCGGTACCAAAAAGTATGTATTATCAAAAGAAAAACTAAAAATAAGTAAAACAAAAAAGGGCCTTGTTGTGTTTCATTTACTTTTACAGAGACAAATTCTCAACCACTGTGTGCTAGTATGCCTTGAAGAAAATGTAAGTTTAACGAAAAAAGTCAAATATAAACATAAAATAATTTTGTATATTTCAGCCTTGTTGAATATTTATTTGTATTCCACCGCCTTCAGTTTTAAACTGAAAAATAATCAGCCAAACATAAAAGATGCCTAGATAGAATCCATGGTTTGTCTTACCAAGTTTTATTTCTCATGTGTAAACTTAATTTACTGAGAGACTATGCTTCAAAGCTGTATGTTAGTATGCCTTAAGAAAAATGTAAGTTTAGCTAAAAAGTCAAATATAAATATATGTATATTAATTTAATTTTCTTGTAGCTAGACCTTGTTACATTTTTTTTTAATCGAACGACTTCAGTTTTAAAATGAAAAATAATCAGCCAATAATAGAAGAATATCCATTTAAAAGTCATGGTTCGTGTTACCCAACATATGCTAATAATGTAATTCCCATATATAAAGTTAATTTAATTATATGGGTCCCGGAATTCCGTCATTTACTTTTGTTTCTCCTAGCATAATTAATTTTAACTATATTTTTGTATTTTTACAACCCAAGCGAAGACAAGTTTATAACTGCTGTGTTTTTATTGTCTACATTTTCCCAAAAAATAGTATATAATTTTCGTTTTAAATATTTTTATATTCGAAATTTTATTATTT